AGAATGCCCAGTAAACAACAGCTCAATGCTCCTGCTTGCTCCTTCTCACCGTGGCTGATAGATATGCCTGAGTGTGTTCCGGGCTGCTGAGACCTGACTGTACAGGCCTCTGTGATGCCCACTGGTCCCATCACCTGGGAAATTTCAGGGGACTGTGCTGGTTGGAGATGAGCAGCACAGTGCCCTGGAAGACACCAGCATTTGCCCAGTTTCTGCACTGGCATCAGGGAACTGACTGGTTAAGGCCCATGTTGGTCATTGCCCGAAGGCCTCTGGGTGGATGTGTAAGATTTGGGGGGATGGAGGCAATAGGCAGGGAAAGGGCAGAAGATATTTTTGGCTTTTCTCAGCACATGTAGGCAGCCACTTCTGCCTATATAAGGCCGGCTTGACTTCAAGGCCCACAACATCCGGAAACGGCTTCTGAATCACCAAAATAGAATCAACGTAGTTGAAGGGAATTTCTGCGTAGAGGATTCATAGCCATAAGACAGGACAGGAAGAGGAAGTGGTAAACCCTCAGATCTGGAATCAGAATCAGAGGCCCATACACTATGGGAGTCATTGAACTTTACAGCCTGTGGGTGTAGCACGTCACTGCCATGTACTTGATTTGAGAATATGCAGAGGAGGCTGAAATCTTCCCAAGTAGACAGTGCTCGCCAATAGAAGCAGAATGGGAACCATTTAAACATTTCTGGCAGCCACTTAAAAAAAGTGAAATTAATTTTTTTAAATCTTCACCCGAGGATATTTTTTTCCATTGATTTTCAGAGAGAGTAGAAAAGAGCGAGGAGAGAGAAAGAGAAAGAGGGAGGAGAGAAAAAGAAACATCGAAGTGAGAGAGACACATCAATTGATTGGTTGCCTCCCGCACTGGGGCCAGGGATCGAACCTGCAACCCAGGTACGTGCCCTTGACCAGAACTGAACCTGCAACCCTTCGGTGCCCAGGCTGACACTCTAACCACTGAGCCATGCTCACGAGGGCATGACATTGATTTTAATAAAATATTTTACTCAACCTAATATATCCACAATAATATCCTTTAAACATGTAGTCAATATAAAAAGTGTTAATAGGATATTTTGCATTCACTTTTTTGTACTAAGTTATTAAAATCGGTGTGTGTTTTATACTGACCGCCCATCTCAATTCCAATTAGCCACACTTGGGTTGCAAGTGGCTACCGTACTCTATAAGGCAGATATAGACCATTTCCAGCACCACAGAAAGTTCTACTGTGAGCGCTGCTCTAGGTCATTAGAATGTGAATGAAAGCTAAAATGGACCTTCTAGGTCAGCGGTTCTCAACCTGTGGGTCTCGACCTCTTTGGCAGTCGAACAATCCTTTCACAGGGGTCGCCTAAGACCATCCTGCATATCAGATATTTACATTACGATTCATAACAGTAGCAACATTACAGTTATGAAGTAGCAACGAAAATAATTTTATGGTTGGGTCACAACATGAGGAACTGTATTTAAAGGGCCAGAAGGTTGAGAACCACTGTTCTGGGTCATGTTGCTCAGGAGTCATAGACGCAAATGCCTTCAGAAGCCAGGAAAGTGCCAGAGTCTAATGAAGGGAGCCAGTGTAGTACATTAAGGAGTGGTGGGAACTGTGGCAAACCAGAGGTTCACCTTCCAACTTAAGTTCTCCCACCACAATTACTCAACTCCAAACAATTGTTGCCAGATAGCAATAAGATCTGGTATTTTCCTTTCCAGGAGAAGCATAAATCCAGGTTTTAATATGAAATCTCCTGAATTGAAAATGTTAGCAATAAATGAATAGTTTAAAATTCACGGAAGCGGGGGCGTGGGGGTTGGGGGGGACAGAACCTGTGGGCTGGAGGCAATCCTGGGCACTGCTAGTTGCAAGCTCTCATATGATCTAAAACGTCCATGACCCCTTTTCTCAGTTTGCCCTCCACACTCAGTGTTCTCTCTGCCTGTGTCGCCAGAGGTAGACCAGGTGAGGAAACCAGTGTACTAGTATATTTGGGAGCAAAGTGTTCTGGGCAGAGGAAACAGCATGTGCAAAGGCCCTGAGGCAGAAGGTGTTGAGTGTGTGGCTGGAGTAGAGCAGAGAGCAGTAAGAAAGTGAGATCGGGGAAATCAATTCTGTGAAACTCCCTCCTCAGGAATTTGGGGCTTTGAAGCTCTTCGATGCCCAGAACAGCAAAAAAAAATCTCCAGGGCCAGTGTTGATTAACATTCTTTATTTTATAGCATTTTCAATCAAAAGTACTTGAAATCACGGTTCATCTGGTTATAAGTTCCATGGGTTTCTCTGTGAATGAACTTCTCTCCTGCCCTGTCCCACAGGAACACACCTTCCCCCACTCCTCACCCCCGGGGCTGTAACTGTGACTAAATACTGACATTCTACTCAGTTGGGAAGGAGCCCGCTTCCAGGGAAACATCCATGACTCACTCCTGCTGTACGGAGGGTGAGTTCAGTCTCTGGGGACTGCCCTCCAGGCCCAGGCTGCTGCTCAGGGAACCTCATCCCTCGGAGGTGCAGGAAGGGGAGAGGTGAGGCTTTGGGGCCCACGGGGGTGCCTTTGCCGGTGCTATGCTAATGCTGGGCCACTCGTTCCACAGACACTTGCTGAGCATCTGCAGGGCCCAGGACTGTGTTGTTCACTGGAAATGCCCAGATACTTCTGCTTGAAGCCACCAGTGATGGAATCCCCGAGGAGAGCCCGCCAGCCACTGGCTCTCAGGAAGTCTCAGTGTCCCTGTCTGTAAAGAGGGTTGTGATACTTGGCCTGCTTGCGACATGTCACCCTGGCCCTTTGCAAGTCCCCAGTTTCTCTCTTGACTTTCCTCTCCTCCCTGGAAAATATGGCCTTTGCTAATCAAACATGCTTGCCACTTGGGGTAGGGTTGGAACCAGCTGCTGAGCAAGCAGCAGCCAGCAGCCACACGGGCCTCTGCGGGCCACAGGCAGGTGAGTTCTGGCTGGAGGAGCCATGAGTCACCTGCAAGAGGGCAGGGCCCAGGCTTGGCCCAACTCCAGAAATATGGCCACAGTGAATCAGATTAAACAGGAGAATCATAACAGCTTGGGTAGAGATGTCAGCGGGGGTTCTAGGACTCCCCTGGTGTGCTTGGGAGCTCGGAGAAGCAGGAAGGAGGCTCTGCAAGTCTCCGTGTCCTCAGGAAGCCATCTGTCCCTTCTGACCCCTGCTCCCCTTCCCCCCAGCTCCATGGGTTGAAAATTCCCCTGGCTGCTGGGTTTCAATAGGAGAAATAGTCAAACAACTGGTGTAGAACGGGCACCCACTGAACTGAACATGTATCGGCTGTGAGCAGCTGGGACAGGTCTCCAAGGAAGGTGGCCCCTAAAGGCGAGATGGGCCCTAACCGGTTTGGCTCAGTGGATAGAGCCTGCGGACTCAAGGGTCCCGGGTTCGATTCCGGTCAAGGGCATGTACCTTGGTTGCGGGCACATCCCCAGTAGGGAGTGTGCAGGAGGCAGCTGATCAATTTTTCTAACTCTCTACCCTTCTCCCTTCCTCTCTGTAAAAAATTAATAAAGGCGAGATGGTCTGTCCAGAGTGCCACCTACAGTAGTCAGTGGGGAATGTGCACTGTGCCCATGGGGATGGATAGATTCCCATCCCAACTGTTCAAGACAAATGCAATTCTAGATTTATTTATTGTTGCTGGAGTTGGGCCCTCTTGCATCCTAACCACATTCCAGCTCAGAGATAAAGGAGCTTGAGATCTGGGAGATATCTGGGTCCTGAACAGCATGAGCGAGGAGAAGGTGTCCTCGGTAACGAACTTGTTGACCCAAGTGGACCACCGGAGGCTACCCTTGCTTGTTGCCTACTGGATCACAGAGAATTGCTCGATCACCCTGTCCGATCCTAAGAGCAGGTACTGGTAAAGCCTTCTGGGAGGGCCCGGCCCAGAGTCTCCAAGGAGGACTCAGAGGGCAAGTAACGTGTCGTTGGCCACCAATGAGGGTGGCTTTCCTGTGACATTGGTTAAGTGGTCTTGGGCCCAGTCCGGGAAGGAGCCCAGCTGGAAGATGGGCTGTGCCCAAGTGTTGATGGCCATGTTGAGTATCATGATGCCGAGCAGGTTCATCAGGAGGCCTGTCCGCACCTGAAATAGAACACAGACTCGAGGCCCATTGTATACATGGAAAAACCCCAAAGTCATTCACCCAAGCCCAGCTCGGTGGATGCCCAAGACCCTCCCATCTTTACACACCCTGGGCTGTCCCTCAAATGTCCTCATTCATTGAGTGGCTTGTAGGGGCCAGGTACTGTGCCATGCAGCTGTCATAGGGTCATTTAACCCTGAAAGCAGCCCTATAAGGCTTATTGTTATTATTATTCATATTTTACAGAAGAGGAAAATGAGGCTCCGAGAAGTTGGCTTATCTAAGGCTACACAACTTGAAAATAGTCTGATTTGATCATTAAATCACCCCTCCCCCTCCCCAGTCCCCCTCCCTGCAACCGTTAAGGCTATAATTGTTTATTGGGAAGATTTCTTCTCCTGGAAATGTTTACCTCTTTAAATAGCTGGAAAGAGTTGCCCACTTGCTCCCTCCCCAGGCTGACTCTCATACAATGCAGTCCAAACGTGGGCTGAAAACACCTGTTTCCCAGCTCAGTTTTCTATTTGTTCCTCCCTAGCATCCAGCCGTGAGAAAATTACTCCCTTTAGGTTGCTTTTCAAATCGCTTCCTCAGAGCAAGTCTGCTTTAGGGGCTACCATGCCCTTCCTTAACGCTTCTCTCCTCTTCTCCCACTGCCCCCCCCCTCCCGCCCCCGCTTTTTCTTAAATATATTTTTGTTACTTTCAGAGAGGAAAGGAGAGGGAGAGAGATAGAAATATCAATGATGAGAGAGAATCATTGATTGGCTGCCTCCTGCACGCCCCCTACTGGGGATTGAGCCCGCAACCCAGTCATGTGCTTTGATCGGGAATCGAATGGTGATCTCCTGGACTTAGGTTAATGCTCACCCACTGAGCCACACTTGCCAGGCTTCCACTTTCTTTTTTTAACAAGACCCTTCTCCAGGCAACTGTAATTGGGGAGAATTTCATTATTTTGCTTTCCCCCCTTTGCATGTATTTTTAGACTTGCCATCAATGGCATGCATTACTGGTTTTCCATTTACATGTACATTGGTAACTTTTCTTTTTAAATACTGTTATTTAAGGTTTTTTTGTTTGTTTGGTTTTGCTAATCTTCATCTGAGGAGATTTTTGTCATTGATTTTTAGAGAACGTGGAAGGGAGGGAAGAAAGGGGGGGGGAGAGAGAGAGAGAGAGAGAGAGAGAGAGAGAGAGAGAGAGAGAAGAGAGATGAGAGAGACACATCCATTGGTTGCCTTCCGCTTGCTGCCCCAACCTGGGCTGGGATTGATTTAACCCAGGTGTGACCTTTTGGTGCGTGGGCTGATGCTCCAACCACTGAGCAACACTGTCCAGGGCTCTTATTTAAGTTTTTAAAAAAATGTAAGTTGATTTAGTAAAATTGTGAAATGAGTATTTCCCCAGATGGTTCATGGAAAGGGCATAGGCTGGGAAACCGCTGTGCTGGCTGCCTCTGTTCTAGGGAGTCTTAAAGCCCCTGACAAGTGTGGAGGATTAGAAGGAGCGCAAAGCTTTGGGGGAGCTGGGAGGAGGGCGGGGTCTTCCCTTGCCAGGGTCCTGGGAACCTGGCTCAAATGCCTGCTTAGTTCCACTGGAGTTACGTAGTTAATTCACACCTGTGTGTTACACTCTGTTTGCTCTGGATCGCTTTCTGCCTCTCACTCTGGTTCTCTGGCCACTCATCCTGCTGAGTCCCGGAGCCTGGAAGCCAGCATCCTGAACTGGTTGAGCACATCACCCCTGGGGTTGCACCAGTTTAGGACGAGTTATTTACATTCTGAGCATCCACATGCCCCAGGCCCAGGTGGGGGTGGAGGGAGAAGAGGCGGCAGGAGGTAGGAGGAGGGGAGAGGGTGGGAGGGGCGGGTTTAGCAGGGAGCATGGGGAAGAGGGAACACACTGCCCCATAGTTGAGCCCTGCTGAAAGCTGGACCCCCCCGCCCCCCGCCCAAACTCTGGGGGCTTCTGTCACACTCCTCAGCTGGCCAGGCATCGAGGCCACCCAAGTCCCAGGGTGTGGACTGGCCTTTCTCTTCCCTGAAGATTCTGGGCACAGTGCAGTTGGCCCAACAAGCAAGAACAGAGAGGGGAAAGTCCCTTGTCCCCAAAGCAAACTTTGGAAAGTAATCACTTAAGCAGTGTTTCCGGAAGTTGTCTAAACATAGAGTCCTGGCCTTACTCAGAATGACTTATGTAGAAATTGGGGGATGGTGGCTGGGGGAGCAGGAGCCCTGCCCAGATGCCTAGCCCAGATGCCTAGCCCACCACCTGTGTCCACCCACCTCTCTGGGCTCTGCTAGAAAATGCCCAGACTTGCCTGGCCAGAGTTGCTTAGCCCAGCACCAAGAGGTCGCTGGTTCAATTCCCCACCAGGGCATGTGCCTGGGTTGTGGGCTCCATCTCCAGCAGGGGGCATGCAGGAGGCAGCCGGCTGATGTTGATGTTTCTCTCTCATGGATGTTTCTATTGCTCCCTTCATTCCTCTCTCTCTGAAATCAATAAAAACTTATTTTAAAAGAAGAAGAAAATGCCCAGGCTCACCATGTCTTTGACCAGCAAGTGTCCAGTGGCGAAGGCAATCGAGTTGGGGGGCGTCGAGACCGGGAGCATGAAGGCGTAGGAGCAGCCCACGGTGGCAGGGATCATCAGGTACAGGGGGTGCACTTTCAGGCGGATGGCCTGGGCTCCGGAGGGGGTGGTGAGACCAAGACATAAGAGGCAGAGACAGTTGGAGGGAGAGCAACACGGAGACAGATTTAGAGACAGAAAGAGAGACAAAGACACATGGATAGAGAAAGGCAGCGTGAGAGTGCACAGTCGAGGCAAATGAGAAGACAGATGTAGACAATGAGAAACCAGATATACAAACACGCAGAAATGAGAGATATGATACACAGAAACGGACAGAAGGCGAGAGCCAGACCAAGGGAGAGATGGAGAAGACATTCTCAAGGTTAGTGACATTCTGGGGCCGCACTGCAGGGTCACCAGGGAGGCTGGGCTGGGGAGATGTGCCTAGGACACTCCTCCGATCTGAGAGCGCAGGAGCCACCGGAGGCTTGTTAAAGCGCAGCGGGCTGGCCCCCACTTACCCAGAGCTGCTGACTCAGCAGGCCTGGGGTGGCCCCAAGAATCTGCATGTCTGACAAGGTCCCAGGTGAAGCAGATGCTCTAAAATAACAAGCCCTCTACCTGGTCCTAACAGTTGGAGTCTGGGCCCCTTGGGTTGGGAGCTCAAGATGGCAGCTGTTGGCAAACATTTCCAAACTTCTAAGACTGGGGGTCAAACGCGTCTGTGGGTTGGCCTCAGTCAGTGGGCCGCGGGTTCTTCACCTCTCTCCAACGACATATTCGCCTACAATCCATGTCGATTACTTCTCCAGCATTTTATTTTAAGGCAGGACATCTTGGGCCCCTCTAGAGAATTTTTGCAACCTAGAGGATATATGTTTTCTCAAAAGGTGCTAAAATCATCCCCTTGTGTGTCAGATGTTTTGCTTTTGATGATAAGCACCATCTGGAAGAATGTGTCGTTTGCTAGTGTCTTCTCCAGTAAAAGGCTCTAAGCTCCCTCTCCTCCCACCCTCCATCTCTCTCAATGGCCAGATCCCTCAGATCCCGGGGAAAGGCCTGATTCAATCCCATCACACTCAGCCAGGGGAGGGAGACCCCGCCCCTCATGGCAGGTGCCAGTGTAAAGTGGCCCATTCACTTTGGAGGGCAATTTACCCACATCTAACAAAACTGTGAGTGTCCGGGCTCTTTCATTCAGGGATCAATGCTGCAAGTATCTCCAGATGTCATCCAAGGTGCACAGACAGGAAAAGTTCCAGGCAGCCTTGCTGGATAATAGCAAAGCCTGGAAGCAGGTGCTTAAACAAATCGACAACTATCGATCCTAATGGAATATTCTCCGGTCATTGACAAAGAACAGAGTGTTTCCTTGTGTATGGGAATACAGCAGGATCTCTATTATAATTGACTAGAGGCCCGGTGCACGGTGCACGAAATTCGTGCACTTGGGGGGGGGGGTCCCTGAGCCCAGCCTGCACCCTCTCACAGTCTAGGAGCCCTCAGGGGATGTTCAACTGACGGCTTAGGCCCGCTCCCTTCGGGGAGCGAGCCTAAGCCATTAGCTGGACATCCTTAGTGTTGCCACGGAGGTGGGAGAGGCTCCTGCCACCACCGCTGTGCTCGCCAGCCATGAGCCCGGATTCTGGTGCACTGACCACCAGTGGGCAGTTCCTGTGTTGAGTGTCTGCCCCCTGGTGGTCAGTGCACATTATAGCAACCGGTTGTTCTGCTGCTCGATTTGCATATTAGCCTTTTATTATATAGGATGCCTAAATAAGCAAAGAAAAACAAAGTGGTTCAGACGAGTGCCTGGTCTGTCACTGTTTGCATACAAAGCATATACTCGCAACATTGACTTAATTCCCTAGATGTGGGGCTGCGCTGAGGTAATGACACCCCTTTAATCTATTCAAATGTAAAACTCAGGATAATCAGTTTTGAAATCCCAAGTGTAAACTCTTCTTGTCCGTGATATGTTGTTCTTGGCATATGATCCTGGATTCATTTTGCTATTTGCATCTTTATTTACACACGAGGTCGAGTTAGGACATTTTTCTCCCCTGGTTTGGTTTGGTTTCGGGGTCTTGCTAACCTGACATGCGGGTGGGCTGGCTTCCTCTGCCTGTCTGTGCTCCGGGATGCTTTGGGCAAGTTGAGAACTCTCTGCTCCTTGAAGGCTCCAGCTCTCACCTCGCCAGCCCCCCAGGACTGGTGACCTTTAAAGCAGTAGTTCTCCGCAGGGGATGAGTATCCCTCCCGGCGACACTCGGCAATGTCTGTCCCCACCACTTACCCCACATGTCAGTGGTGCCAAGGAGCCCGGGTTTACAGGGAGGCTAGGGCTTTGCTATCATCAGAGTTCCTCCTGTGGTTATTGGACTAGTCAGACTTTCTACTTCTGCTTAATCCAAACCTGGAAATTATATCTTCCTAGAAAACTTTCCAAAGCTATCATCAGAGTTCCTCCTGTGGTTATTGGACTAGTCAGACTTTCTACTTCTGCTTAATCCAAACCTGGAAATTATATCTTCCTAGAAAACTTTCCAAAGAAGGGCATTTGGTCACTTTTAAAATATTTACTTTGATTATGCATTTTTTTTAAAGAAAAAAACTCCACAGTATTATTTTTGAATCTGGGTTCTGCCACATTCACACATTTTGGAAGAGAGCAGTGACTCCTGGGGCTGCCTGCGGGAGACCCCGCCAGCAGGGGAGAGGTTTCTGACCTGGGTGGTTGGAGGGACAGGTGCTCCTCCTTGCCTCCCCCTCATTCCCAGAAGGGCCCTCACCAGCTCTGACATGACGGGCAGGAAGATGATGATGGTGGCCGTGTTGCTGGCAAACTCGGTGAAGAAGATGACGACGCAGGTGATGGTGAAGACGGCCAGCGCGGGAGACACGTTCTCCAGCGGGTGCAGCTGGTCGCTGATCCACAACGACAGCCCGGACTGCTGCGGGGGGAGGGGAGGGGCGAGGGCACCTCTTCACACCCAGCCCACCCCAGTGCCACCCCTGAGGGCTGGCCCAGGGGGGAGGGTTAGGATCAATCACAATGATGACAATGATCCCTTCGTAGATGGGGAGTCTGAGGGTCAGCGCGGTTAGTGACATGTCCGAGGTCACACATGGAGCCTGGACTTGAATGAGCGTCTCTGCTTCTTGAGCTCTTCTCTGTTTCGTACGCTATAGGCCCGGGACTCAAAGCCTTAGTTGGATCCTCAACTAACCCATTTGGTTCTCTAGACAATTCACTTGGGTCTGGCACCCTAAGCTCCAACTTGAATGGGAGAGGGGACTTGGGTCCTCCATGATAAATCTCATTCCTCCAATGACAGCCATGAATTAAAATGATATGAACACAAACACTGCACAAAACATTAACCTTGTGATTGTTATATATTAATATGCATCAAATGTATAATATATAGAAGATATACTCTATATCACATGTCATATAAAACATGTATCAAGTTCTATTAAATATGACACTGTCAAGATGATTATAAATAGTAGAGATTTATGATCAATAAAAGGAAGTTTATTACGATGATCACACAAATATTAACGGTTAACGCTGTATTATTCATTATCATAACAATCACCATCAATGTGGCTCTATAGGGTGCGAGACACCGGCATGCCTTAGCTCCCTGAGTCCTCCCAACCACCCCATGTGGACACCTGTCCCTGCGTCACGGAGGAGCAATGTGAGCCCGGCAACGCTTCTGTGACATCCACAGTCGCCAAACGTCATGGCCGGGATGCATTTCACACGTAGGGCCATGCGCTTCTGTGAGCTAACGTGCTCCTGCGAAGCTCCCTCGGGAACACCCGTCTGCCACGGCCCCTCTCAGTGAAGGGCAATGCCCAGAGCTCACCAGAGCCCAACAGGACAGAGAAGGGACCAGTTAGAGCAGTGGTTCGCAACCTTCCTGATGCTGCGACCCTTTAATACAGCTCCTCATGTTGTGGTGACCCCCAATTTCATTGTTACAACTTGAACATAATTAAAGCATAGTGATTAATCACAAAAACAATATGTAATCATATATGTGTTTTCCGATGGTCCTAGGAGACCCCTGTGAAAGGGTCGTTCGACCCCCAAAGGGGTCTCAACCCACAGGTTGAGAACCGCTGAGTTAGAGGGTTCCCTCCCTGGCCCCAGACGCCACGCTGCTGTCTATACTGCAGAATCATCCCCAGCTCCTTCCAGGACTTCTCCGGGAATGACTCCATTTACAAGTGTACAATATGTATACTCTCCCCAGCTACTCCCTCCTATCATCAAATGTATCCTAAACGACCAGGCGTCCAGCACACCTTCATTAGGACCCCGAAGCCGCAAAGCTGAAGATGTAAAATTTGTGCTCTCTTTTGCCCCCTGGTGGTGCCATGCAGCAACATCTCAAAAAACCCCACAAGGTCTTGTCCAGCAGGTTGTTTTTTTTGTTTTTGTTTTTAACAAAGATAACAAAACCATAGGCTTAGATGTTGGCCAAGGCAGAGTTGGGTTAGTCCCCTACCATCGAATCAAGTGTATGTCTACCACAGCCCTTTTATCACCCCGTGCCATCTGGTACCAATACACTCTGCTTTATCAAAGAAACTATACACATTTCTTTTATGTTTAACAGAAAATTTACTGCTTATCCCGAACTTAAAATTTCATGATGGATTCTAGGACACAGCACCCTGTTTTTCCATAAATAAAATAGTACACGTGTCCCTACAACCTGCCTTGAAAGAGACTGTGTGAAATTGAGGTTTCTTTTACATCTGCACTGCTTGTCTGATGGCCTAGAAAGTATGGCACATGGCAGCGTCGAGGCCCCCGCTTCTCCCCTGGCCCCGGGCACCCTTCACAGAAAAAAATGGGCCGCTGGTTTTTCCCAGAGGCCACGGCTTTGGCAAAGAGATGGACAGCAGTGTGTGCCATTCAACGGAAAGAGGCTGGAGAGAGGGAATATTAATGACTTGGATGAATGAGAAGTCAAGAACTTCTGGGTGACGGGCTTCCAGCCAACGTCCCAACGGCCACTCATACCCTTGGCTCAGCCTCCATAGCCGCAGGGAGGTCTGGCAGCTTCGAGAGAGGAGAGCCTCCAGCTGCCTGGGGTGCTCTTGGGGACTCCTAAGGGCCTCACCTTCCCACTCCCAGTCCCCTCGGAATCAGAAGCTCTGTTTCCTCGGAACCACAAAGCCCCGCAGTGTCCCTGGGACTCTGGGATCAGCAATAGGCAAGGTCAAAGCAGAAAGGCCAGAGGGCGAGGAGGAAGGGCTCTGGAGTGAGACTAAGTCTGTTCTCCCTCTTAATCCTTTCTGGCTGTGTCATCCTGGCCAAGTAACTTAACCTCTCTGTGCCTCAATATCCTTATCTGTAAAATGGGGATATAAGAGTACTTGTCCCAGATGGTTATTATTGGAAGAAAAAGAGCTCATCCATACAGCATTTAGTGAAGGGCTTGGGCATCTATGCCCAGGGCATACCAGCTGTCATTAGTAGCACCAAGTCAGGAGATGCCAGTGGTGGCAGAACACTCAGAAATCACCCAGCGCAGTGGTTGCCAAGAGGGGCCTGAGGTCACGTTGCAGGATGGGAAAGGGAGGCTGAGCAGGCAGGACGGTGCTCCCCTCTTCCTCCTCCTGTCCCGGTTCCGCCAGGCCCGCTTCTAGATCTCTGTGATAACAGTAGGGTCGCATCTTACAAGGACGGTGTTATGGTCTAAGTCAGTGGTTCTCAACCGTGGCTGCACATTAGCATCACCTGGGAATCTTTTTAAAATCCTGATTTCTGGGCCCCATATTTAAAAAAGATTCCCAGGTGATTCTAATGTGCAGCCAAGGTTGAGAACCACTGGTCTAAGTGAAATGCTTAACGTTGAAACCTCAATGGAAAACACCCTTGAAAATCTCTTATAACACTCATAGAACATAGTAGGTTCAGCTGTGTGTGTGCAACTCTGTATAATAATTCTTAGGTAGGGAGAGCCAGTGAATTTGATTAAAAGAAAGAAACAAGAGAAGGCTGTATACATGAGGTGAACATTCATACCAGGGTACCACTCTGGCCCTCGATTTCTTCAAGGGGCTGTGGTAAGGATTAAACAAGCACTGGTAGAAATAGTTCCGGTGTCAGAGTAAGCCCTCGATGTGATTTACTTTTAGTTATTTTACTTAACACTTAAAGTGTTTACTCTGTGCTGGGCTCACTTGTCAGCATTTTGCGAACATTACATGGCAACCCCAGGAGGTAAGGAGTAGAATTCTCTCCATTTTCGTGGTTGAAGAAACTGGGGCACCAAGAAGATGTGATTTGCCAATTAGGTCAGATGACTTGCCCCAGGATTGGAATTTTGAGCTCACAGTCTGGCTGGCAAGCACTTCAGTGGCTACTTCTCCAATTAAACTAACAACAACAACAACAAACATCCTCTCCGGCAGGAAATGAGGGACGGGGAAGAAGACCATGTGTCTACTCCGCTCTGAGGGGATGGAGCCTCAATCCCCTCAATATATTTGTAGAGAAGTTTGTTGTGGTGGAGACTAAAAGACTACACACAAAGGTGCCAGGATCAGGTCAGGTTTTTATCCACGAGACAGTAACATTATAATAACAACAAAAGTGTGAGGTTGATAGTGGCCCCCGTGTTAGCACCAGGTGGGTATGCATCACCCCTCTCTGGGCACTTTCCATACATCCATCTTGTCATCAGTCCTCAAAACCGCCCATCTGCTAGGTCCTGTCCAGCTAATGTGTATTCAGTGAGCAGGGGACACGCAGATAAGACAGATATGATTCTTGCCCTCGCTGAGCTTATATTCTAGCAAGAGAGACACCTGTAAACGAACAAATGACCGGGATCCTTTGAGGGGCAGACTCAGTGTGAGCAGAGTGGTAAGAGGGGGAGGGGCTGTGTTGGTGGGGAGACTCCTTCTGTGGTGGTGACCTTGGAGCTGAGACCTGAAGGGTGAGGACCCCGAGATCTCAGGGGGAGCAATCGGTGGGGAGAAAGCCATCCGGAGGTCCTGGGTGCGAATGAACATGGTGTGGCTGAGGAACGCTGAGGAGGCAGTGGGACTGGCCTGGAGCGGATGAGAGGAGACAGATGGGGCTTGTGTGTAGGCCAGTGGGAGCCTTCAGCCTGAGTCTAAACACAGGGGGTGCCATGGATTTAGTCTGAAGCAGGAGAAAGCCGGTGAGAACACTAAGTGGGTGTAAGCGAGTTGCCCAAGTTCAGAGTAAGCCCTGGGATCCGATTCCAACCCCGCGGAGCCAGCATGTGGGAGTCCACCCAGCCTCGGCCTGGGTCCCATCCAAGGGCCTCTGAGCCACAGGAGGCCACTGTGGCCTGGCAAGGGCACTGGGCAGGGAAGAGGGAGCAGGAAGTGCCGTGGGCATTCTGGTCCCTCTGGGGCAGGCTGTGCTGCCTGGGGAGGGAATGGAACCAGCAGGAGCTGGGGAAAGGGGCAGCTGCTACACAAAGCCCTCCTTGAACAGAAATCCCAGCCTGTGGCCTGGGGCCGGGCCAGGGGCCAGACTGGCCTCCCAGCATGCTCAGCGGTCCTGCAGCCCAGCCCCCACTGAGAGAGCTCTGAGCTCAGAGAAGCCTCTGGGGTGGTGGGGTCACCCTGTGCCTCCTCCCTCGGGGTCAGAATAGGTGCATCTCAGTAAACATCTATTTCCACAGAGTTGCTCGGGGTGAGAACCCTCTGATGTCATCCTTGGATCCTGAAATTCCCCTCTTCGCCAACAATCCCTCATAATAACCAGCTATGTTGGCTATGCTCTAAGTTCTCCATACGAATAGGCTCACTTAATAATTGCAACAACTCTATGAGATGGAATCCTTGTGTGTGTGTTAATTCAGAGAGGAAGGGAGAGGGAGAGATAGAACATCAGTGATGAGAGAGAACCATTGATCAGCTACCTCCTGCACACCCCCTACTGGGGATCAAGCCCGCAACCCGGGCATGTGGCCTTGACCGGAATCAAACCTGGGACCCTTCAGTCCACAAGCTGACGCTCTATCCACTGAGCCAAACCAGCTAGGGCTAATTCTTTCTTTCTTTCTTTCTTTCTTTCTTTCTTTCTTTCTTTCTTTCTTTCTTTCTTTCTTTCTTTTTTTTTTTTTGAGAGAGAGAGACCGATTTGTTGTTCCAATTATGTATGCACTCACTGGTTGCTTCTTGTATTTACCCTGACTGGATATCGAACCTGCAACCTTGATGTATTGGGACGATGCTCCAACCAACTGAGCTACCTGGCCAGGTGAGCTGGGATCCATTTGAATTCCTATTTTGTAGATGAGGACATGGAGGCACACAGCTAAGAGGTAGATGATATGAGACTCTAACCAGATGGCCTGGTTCCACAGCCCAAGCTTTCTACCAATGCATTGCATGGTCCTCTTAAGACCTGGATAACATGTCACTTCCTCTGGGAAGCCTTCCTTAATACAGCTCCAGTAGAAGACAGTAGTGAAAGAAAGAGAGACGCCAGTTCAAAACCCAGCTCTGCTACCAATGAGCTGTGTAACCTAGAGTCAGGCAGTTAACCTCTCTGGTCTTTGGGATTCCTTAAAAGGAGACAACAGTACCTTTTCTCATCCATCCCTTTGCTCTTTTTGAAATCTGTACCATTGTAACTGTGTTATTCAGGGGGGAAAAGAATAAAATGAAAACATAGTTTGCAGAACAAGAGTTGCTGTGTAGAGAACCTAAGTGTGCTACCCAGACCGCCTTCCCTGAAGGCCTTGTTGCCCCAGCGTAGGGAGTGCGGGCAGCGGACAGCCTGCACTGCCAGCCCCTGACTCCAGGGTACCTTGCCCAAGGTCACCCCTGCTCCCGGGAGGCCATGTCCACAGATGCCGGAGGGAAGCCAGGGTGGAAAGGCCTGGCCATCCCTGACCAACGGGTATCTCTGAAGGGCCGTCTCAGCTTGGCGCTCTCTGTGGGGTGGGTGGAGGCTTCGCAGGTCTGCCTCGCAGCTGTATTGCAACCCCTCAAGGTCACCGAATGACCTCAGAGTCTGCTTCCGGGAAGCAAAACCTGCACTGAGCGTGGCCTGAGGATGCACAGGGCCTCCTCAGCACTTCCTGTTTGCTATGGATTGCGTCAGCATGTCTTCTTCAATGACTCCCAACAACCCTAGAGTAAGAACTTTGAGCCTCAGTTTTCCTACCTGAAAAATGGGGGTAAAATATTACCTAGACCCTAGGGTCCTGTGAGGGTTCAGTGAGGTAATACACTATGACACATGGTGGACACTGAGGCTGCACTTCCTCTGAGCAGGGCCGACGACCCCGAGCGTGAGAGCCTCCTGGAAATCCTGCACCCTCGGTGCCTCACTCGCCTCACTCTAGTCCCAGCCCTGCCTCTGAGCTCATAGAACCCTCTAGAATAACATTAATGACTAATTGAATAAATAGTATTAAAAGTACCTAACATTTATATCATAGTGGCTAAGAGCATACACTCTAGAGTCAAACTACCTGGATCGTAATCCGGAGTACATAGCTGTGTGCCCTTGGGCAAGTGACTTGGCCTCTCTGTGCCTCCATTTCCTAATCTATAGAATGGGAATAACGATGGCATGTATCGCACGGACTTGTTTGGACGTTTAAAGCAGTTACTGCATATAAAGTATGCTGGACAAGGCGAGCCCTGTATGTGGTGGTGGTCCCCTGTGCTCACAGAACCCTCGAGTCGTGATGTTATTGGTACCAGCAATAGTATTGAGTCCACTGTGAGCTCCTTGAGGTTCCAGATCAGACCTTACTCCTGTCTTTCTCCTCAGCACCGGGCACTGAGAGGGGAACTATGATTATCCTAATTGGCAAAGGAGGTGGGTGGTGTCTGCAGGGCCCATGGAGTCTCTGGCTCTTCGGCTGCGCCTGCAGCTGGGACTGGGACCTGCCCACACCGCCCCGGGCGCAGCCCTCTTGCCCATCTTACCTCGCAGGCCTTGGCCATGGCGAAGCCCCCTCCCAGGAGGAGGATGATGCTCCAGGGGATGGTTTCCTCCGCCCTCTTCCACGTCAGCAGGGGTTTTGTCTCTGTGTTGGGAGCTGGGCAGAGAGAGAAGACACTCACTCTGAGGAGTGGACACGGGTCCCTGCAGGCCTGTCTTTGTGGGGGCACTCGGGGTTCTCCAGGAAGCCACGATCTGGCTCCAGCATCTGACTTTGGAGCTGCAGGGGAAAACCCACACCACCATGGCATGGCATCTGCTCTATTCAGAATGAAAACAGTGGGCCCCGCGGCTGGGGGGTGTCCTGGAAGCAGGCCTCCACGCCAGGACACCTCCCAGCCTCTCACAGTCCTTCTGGGCAAGTGTTACTTTCACCCTCACCCAGGGCAGAAGGTTCTCTCTGTAACTGGATGTGCAAGGGAGGAAGGAAAGAGGAAGGCTATTCAGGAGAGAAAAAAAGCTATGGGAATCTTTGGCCCATGGAACTATGGGATGGTTTTTAGGTTTTCAAAGGCGGTGGTGTGTGCAGTGGCCAGAACAGGGGCCAGCACACTTCTGTAAAGGGTTAGGGACCGGATAATTTAGGCTTTGCAGCCTCTGTTGCAACTAGGATGCCGTGATGGCACAAAGCAGCCATGGACAAAACATGCATGAACGGGTGGGCATCCCTATTCTCCACGGGGCTGGGCATTTGCTATTTTCATGTAAGACAGAAAATGTTTTCTGTTTCAAAAATGTGAAAGGAATGATGAACAGGGAGGGCCTTGTTTCCTGAAACACATTGCCCTGCACCCAATCCGCTGCCTCCATACATGTCACCTCCCTGTAGGCATTGGAGCCTGCAACCCCCGTTCTGTACACTAGGAAAGCCAGAGGCGAGAAGTGTCTAAGGGACCTACTCGGGAAAGCCAGTCCCAGAGAATCCAGGGACTCACTGGGAGGTCACCCAGCAAATCAGGGACAGAGCTGGGGTACCAGACATCCAGGTCCTGGTGCCCTTCCCACAGCCCCAGCCTGAGAGGAAGCTCAGGTCCTATGAGCCCATCCCAGGTGACAGAACCCTGGACGGGACCCCGTCAAGAGCAGCCAGGCCACAGGCTGGTCAGGAACCAATGAGGCTACAAGGTAGCCTGTGGGGGAAGATCTGCCCAAATGAGAATAACAAGTCCCGCCCTGGCTCAGTTGGTTGGAGCGCTGTCCCACACACCAAAAGGTTTGGGGTTCAGTTTCTGGTCGGGACACATACCTAGGTTGTGGTTTTAATCCCCAGTCGGGGTGTGTGTGGGAGGCAACCAATTGATCTCTCTCTCTCTCTCTCTCTCTCTCTCTCTCTCTCTCACCATATCCTTGGGTGAGGATTTAAAAATAAAAGTAGTAGTACTGATTCATGTTATTACAACATGGCTCATCCTTAAAAACATCATGTTAATTAAAAGCAGCCAGTCACAAAGAATCACATATGTAACTATGATTACATTTATATAAAATATCTAGAATAGGTAAATCCATAAAGAAAGTAAACTGGTGATTGTCTAGGGCTTGAGGGGAGGGGCATGAGCGACTGCTAATGAACCAGGGTTTCTTCATGGGGTGGTGAAAATGTTCTAAAATAGTACTGATGACTGTACAACTCTGTGAATATACTGAAAACCATTGAATGTACACTTTAAATGAGTGATTTGTACAGTATGTAAATTATATCTCAATAAAGCTGCTATTATAAAAAGAAGAATAAACCAAACCAACTAGATTCTTACTCTCAGAAGCATCAATGGGAAATAGAGAGACAACTGGGCAAAGAGAAGTGATAATTGAAGGTAGAAGAATGGACAGAGGTCGCATAATAATATAAGAGGGGTGCTAGCAGCTGAGGTTCTGTGGGGAAACAGACACTTTGAGGAAGTAGATGCTCCCAGGAAGCAGAAACTGCGAGGAAGTCATGAGGAAGCAGACATTATGAGGAAACAGATGCCAGAAAGCAACAGAGGCTCTGAGGGAGTGGACTCGAAGGAGCACACACTGTAAGAAGGGAAGCCAGAGGGACAGAAGCTGAGGGGACAGGAAGTAGAAGCCGTGGGAGCAGATACTAAAAGAGAGTGGGCATGCCCTAACCGGTTTGGCTCAGTGGATAGAGCGTCGGCCTGTGAACTAAAGGGTCCCAGGTTCGATTCTGGTGAAGGACATGTACCTTGGTTGCGGGCACATCCCCAGTGGGAGGTGTGCAGGAGGCAGCTGATCGATTTTTCTCTCTCATCGATGTTTCTAGCTCTCTATCCCTCTCCCTTCCTCTCTGTAAAAAATCAATAAAATATATTAAAAAAAATAAATATAAGAGAGTGGGCACCAGCAAGATGAAGACAGAACTTACAAAAAGGCAAGAACTAGAATGAAGTGGAAACTATAAACATTCAAAAGCTAAGGAGCAGTAGAAACTATGAGACCAAGAAATGACACACGGAGCGGATTGTGAGGAAAGCGCCTGGAAGCAAGACAGAGAAGCAGAGATGGAGGAACAAGGGAACCCTGTTTGGTTTTGCAGAGGCCAAAGCCCACAGCCTAAGCCCCTCGGACCCCGTGCCAGCCTCCTCCTGGGCCAGCTCTGCTCCAGGAACTATTGGTGGGACCGAGAAATCCTCTCCCTCCTGATCCTTACACAGTACTCCCCACTCTCCAACCCCCATCCTACAAAACTGGAACTATCCTTCCTAATACTCCATTTGTTTCTACAATAGAAAATAGTGCCTGGCCGGTGTGGCTCAGTGGTTGAGCGTCGACCTATGAACCAGGAGCTCACGGTTCGATTCCTGGTCAGGGCACATGCCCAGGTTGCCGGGCTCCATCCCCAGTGTGGGGCGTGCAGGAGGCAGCCGATCAATGACTCTCTCTCATCATTGATGTTTCTATCTCTCTCTTCCTCTCTGAAATCAATAAAAATAAATTAAAAGACTCACAATAGAAAATAGTTAGCTTAGGACCACTATTTCCTGACTCCTGGTCCAGAGCTCACTCCCCAGATAGCGATGGGCCAGGCACACACATGGCTCAGCTGTGGCAGGTGGCAGGTGTTGGCACCCTCTCAAGGCAGACTGCTGGAAATCCAGTGGGGTCACATGTTGGATGGAGCTCTGAAGGCCAAGGCCAGACTACAGACAGTTTGGTTTGGAGGGCTCTGTGATGCTTTTAAGCTGGATTTGAATGTTTTTCAGCAGTTTTGCCTCACTCCACACCGCTTCCTATTCATTTTAACCCAGCTTGAGATGTTCACATCTGGCCCTGTGGGCAATTGAGTTGCAAGTCCAGAGGTGGCAAAGCTTTTCTATAAAGGAGCAGAGAGTAAATATCTCGGGCTTTGTGAGCCAACAGGCAACATTGAGGCTATTGCATACACACTTATATAACTAGAGAAATTAAAAGCCCACAAATTTCTTATTGAAGAAATTAACAACTTTATGGACACTGAAATTTGAATTTCATGTAATGTTTGTGTGTCATATTTTTCTCTTGATTCTTTTCAACCATTAGAAATGTGAGAGCCATTCTTAGCTCACGGGTTGTACAAAAATAGACCGGCAGCTGGATTTGGCCCGGGGACTGTATCTAGTTGCTAGCCCCTGCCCTGGACAGTCACCTCCGGCAGCCCCAAGTGCCCAGACAAGGTAGCTGCTCAGACAGGGAACGGGGCACAGGGGGTGGGGAAGACTCAGGGTGGCTAGTGGCTCGTATGGTAGGGCAGCAGCCCCCCAGGTGTGGGGCCCACCTCAGGCCACCAATTACCACGCTCCACACCACAGAACTCACTGAGCTCACCGACACCCCAGCCCTGACCACCTTACCTTTAAAGTCACACCACCACTTGAGAGAGGGCCTTTTGGATGGGAAGAAAAACAAGATGGTGACAATGCTCACGCCGGTGACAGCATCAGAAGTAAACCTACAAGGACAGACAAGGCCCTGAATCATGTGACCCTGGGCATCTCAGCAGGCCAAGGCTTGGCAGATCTACCAGTGAGGATCTGTGGGAGGGAATCAGGGCCCCTGTGAAGGGGCCTTGTCAGAGGCCTCTGGATTCTGTCTTGCACTGAACTCAGCACGGATGCAACCACCCGTGGATGCAAAAGCCCTTTGCCCACAGCCCCCCGGGGCTTTTAGATCCTGCTTGAGCCAAATACTTTTCCTCCCAACTCAAGGACATGAGGTAAAGGGACTTGACCAAGGAGGAAAGAATCTGAGAGCCACAGAATACCGGGGTCTGTGGAACCCCCATGGATCACTGTAACCAGGGTTCCTGTAGCAGCTCTGTATTTGCTCAGCTTCTGTTTGCATTCCTCCTGGGATGGGCAGCTTACTACATGGACATGGAGCTCACTCAGATCAGCAGAGCCCAGATGGAGCCAGCTTCATGGCCCTACAAAACCTAACTACCAGCTTGCAAGGATCCACAAGGTGTCCAGTGGAGGAGATGCTAAGCTCTCAGAAGCCTGGGGTAGGCCTCTTCCATTTCAGATGAGGAATCCAAGGCTCAGAGAGCAGAGCAACTGGCTCAAGGCCAGACCATGGTCTATGGGGAGATGGGTACTGAATCCAGATTTTCCCAGCTGCAGGTTCAAAAAAGCTCAGAGCCAACTGCTAACAAAAGCATGTTTAGCCCACACATTTGGGAAGAAGAGTATTCAAATGGCCAAGAAACTGGAAAAGGTGGTCGATACCACTATACTAGAGAAATATAAATCAAAACACTAACGGAGTACTACTCTGTTTTTACCTCTGCGAACAGACAGGCAAACTTGGAAAGGGTGGTAATACCGAATGAGGATGTTGGAAAACATATAGGGCTGGTGGGAAAATACATGTTTAACCTTCCAGAGGACAGCTGGCATCACGCTTCAATATTTTCCATGTGAATACCCCTCGATCCAGTTATTATACGTCTAGGAATTTACCCTCAGGAAATAACTGGACTCTGTACACAGATTATGTACAGAGATGTTCATTTGATAAGAGTGAAAAATAGAAGATGCTTAGTAGAGACATGTTTAAATAAAGTGTTTTTAATAATATGTATAATATGTACATAATGAAATACCCTACATCTTTTTTTAATATATGAGATAATATCAATTTTTATGTGTAGACATACAACCAAGAAACCTTGTAAATAAATAAAAAAGTTTTTATTTGCAGTATTGGACACAATCCAAAAGGAATTGATAAACTAAATTAAGATACTCCCATTCTATAGGATACTATGCAGTGTTTAAAAAGAATGAAATAGCCCTGTCAATGTGGCTCAGTGGTTGAGTGTTGACCTATGAACCAGGAGGTCACAGTTCAATTACCAGTCAGGGCACATGCCCAGGTTGCAGGCTCGATCCCCAGTAGGGGGTGTGCAGGAGGCAGCCAATTGATGATCCTCTCTCATCATTGATGTTTCTCTCTCTCCCTCACCCTTCCTTCTCTGAAATAAATAAAATCAATAAAAATATTTAATATGAAGAATGAAATGGAAAACTGTCCATGATCCTATTATTATATTTCCCAATTTTTTGTTATATGTCTCTGTGTGTGTATTAATGTGCGTGTGTGTGTCTACAATATTACACACCAACTTTAATTGTGAATATCACTGGGGAGTGGGACAGAGGGGAGATGAAGGGCAACTAAATTTTACTTTTTCACTTCAGCATTGCTTGAATTTTTTATAATGAGTATACATAACTTTTATCATGAAACAAAAAACAGCAGATCACAATTTGTTCACTGTAATCACACTTCCGTCAAAAAAATCTTGTGTTTAGAGAGGTTTCTTTTTAGTCAGTTTGCTTGTGTTTTAAAAATTAGTTTTATTGAAATATATACTTAACATGGAATACAATGCACCCATTTTAAGGATATAGTTAAGTGATTTTAGCCTAATGTACACAGTCTTATAGCCACCAATCCAACCAAGCTGTGGAATGGTTCTCAGAGAGGCATTCCTTTTAAGTCAGAAAGGATGTCCATCAGATCTGGAGACAAAGATTCCAGGTGATTTTCACTTTCTTTGTTTCATTCAAGCCATTAAAGCCTTCGCCTAGATTGGGGTCCATAACGTCTACTATCAAAGGCCACACAATAAATATTTTTGGCTTTGCAGGCCATGCCGTTTCTGTCATGGCTCAACTTTGACATCATAGCACGAAACCAGCCGTAGACAGTATCTAAGGTATGGCTGTGGTCCAACAGAACTTTATTTGTAGACACAGTCCTTTGAATTTCATATAATTTTCATGTGCCACAAAATACAGGGTGGGGCAAAAGTAGGTTTACGGTTGTTCATATGGAAGATAATACGAAAATTAATAAATAATGATGCGAGAATAAATTCTGTGTTTTGCTTACTCACAACTAAAAACTACTTTTGCCCCATCCTGTATGGTCTTTTGATTTTCCCTAGCCATTTAAAAATGTAAAAACCATTCAAAAACAAGGGTGGGCCAGATTTGGTCCATAAGCCTTAGTTTCCTGACCCCTGTCTCAGATGACAGGGGCCATCTGGATGGTGTCATAGCTCCTAACTGTTCTCTCACCTGTATTTTTGACCCCGCTATGCATTCTCTAGTAAATGTAATGAATGTTCTACTGAGTTCTTCCTATGAGCAATTTTAATCGCTTGACAAGTATTAACTCATTTATCCTCAGAATAATCCAGTGAGAAATGTGCTATTATTATACCATTTTACAGATGAGGACACTGCGACACAGAGAGGTTACGTAACTTAAAACCCTCCTATAGCTTCCCATTACTCTTACTAAAAAATACCAAAATGCTTAACATGTCCAACAAGACCTCCATGATCTGGCCCTCACCTGCCCTTCCAGCCACGTCTTGCCCACTTCCCTCCCTTCCCACCAGGTGTGGGTCACACTGGGCTTCAAGTATCCTAAGTTGGTTCCTACCTCAGGCTCTCATAGACACGCCCAGTGTGTCTCCAGTTTTTATCTCCACTCTTTCTAACTTTGGTTCTTCCCAGAACTATCCAAAGTCAAGGCCCCCACTCCATTCGTTTATAATTCCACTCTCTCACTCTTTCATTGCACTCATTACAATGTTATTTTGTTGTCTAACTACTTGTTTTTGTCTGTGTCCCCAGCATCTAGCATAATGCTTAGCACATATTAGGCTCTCAAAAAATGTTGACTGAGTGCATGAATGAATGAATGAATGACGTGATTGGGGCTGCACAATTTGTAAGTGACACAGCTGCCCATGAAACCCAGTTTTGTCTGATTTCAAAGACAAAGCTCTTAATACATGAGAACCCAAATGTCTTATCCTCCAAACCACAACTCTTTCCAGAGCAAAAGAAGGAGCCATTAATAATGACCAGGGACCAGAGGCATGAACCTCGCCCAGGTCACCCCGCTGCACTGCCTCTCCAGCTCCACGTGGCCCATCCCAGAATCTTCCCTGTTGGACTCCACCTGTGGGTCCCCAGAGGCTCACCCAGGTTTGAAGAGATTGGACCAGCCAGGGATGAACTTCGGGTCCCGGAAGAAGAGGAGGATGGCGAACATGCAGAAAAGGACGAAAACGGCCCGTTCAGCAAACCTGTGGTGTAGATATGCAGGCACGTGGTGACCGTGGGCTCGGGCCGTCTGCGGGGTGGGAAGGCCTCGGGCAGGTGCCCACAGTGTGACTGGGCCCCGACCCTGCCTCTGAGAAACTGAAAGGAGGAGTTCACTCCCCAGGAAGCCCCCCGCGTGAGGAGAGGGCTGTTCCGTGGTGTGAGTGGTTCCTGCCTGGGGCTACCACACTCGCCAGGGTCCTTCCTAAGTATCAAGCAGCCCCTCACCAAAACTATTTATATAATTTTTACTGGGAATTTCCCAGAGTCCTAGAAAGAATCCAGAGACAGACAGAAAGAGTGAAAAAGAGAGAATCAGAGAGACAGGAAACAGAGAGGTAGGCAAAGAGTCACACACAGGGATGAACATGAGCGCAGAGTGGGACAAACACAGAAAGGGACAGACATGAAGAGAAGTAGAAAGAGAGAGAGTCTGCAAATGTTGGGGGCAAATATCTACCCAATGTGCCCATTTCACAGATTGGGGAACAGAGCCCAGAGAGGGTTCGTGCCTTGCCCGAGGTCGCACAGGAAGTGAGTGGCAGAGTCAGCCCTTGGGGGCAAGCCTGCTGACTCCGAGTTATTGTTACCACAGGAAATACACACTGTAAACAAGGTCCTGGAAGCTGCCCAAAGCAATGTTGAGTATCCCATGTACCAGGAGGGAAAGGGTGCATTTGGCCGGAAGGAGGCAAGTCCCCACCCCAAGTACACCCTGAGGAGCTTCCTAGTATCTACCCCAGCACCAGGGCAAGGGACTGACTGTGTGAGCCACCTCCCTACCCTCCATCTCCAGGACCCCATTTCAGGCCACTGGTCCTGATATGCCCCTGGGACTCAGCCCCCGGGGACCCAGGGATCAGACCAAGAGGTAACTCTCTTGAAAGTCTACCGCCCAGTTTTCTCTCCACCCCATGGATCCCTGGATCGCGCACACCATGTGCCCCAGACTCCTGTATTCCTCCTGAATCACAGCTCGAGCCCTTTCTTCTCCAGTGGCATTGACCTCTGTGTCCTTCTTCCAGCCCCTGAAACAGAAAGTAGAGAAGTTAGGAGTGGCTACTGCAAGGGTGACTAACTTCGCCTCAGCCCACCACCACCTGGCCAGGCCTCATTATCTCTGTTCGGGAAACTGCAGTGGCCTGCTGGTCTCCCTCTGTCTTCCCTTCCTAAAAACTGTTCTCCCCACCTATAGCCTGGATGCTCTTTTTAAAATGTGAATCTGATCATCTGACTCCCAGGGGATCCTTTAGGGGAACAAACAGAAACATGAATAAACAGACAAATCAATGGAATAAAATAGAAAGCCCAGAAATATAGCCAAATATAAATGGGGATTTATCTGTGATAAAGTTGGTATCACAGCTGGTATGCAAAAGATGGGCTATTTGTTCAATGGTGTTGGACATATAGTTCAATGGAACAGAATTGGGAGTTCAGAGATAAACCCATACACATCTGTGGCCAATTGATTTTTGACAAGGATACCATGACAATGAATTTAAACCTCATAGCACCCTAAGGATAGACTCCAAATAGATAAAAAAGAATTTAAATGTGAAAAATATTAAAATATCAGGAGAAAACTGTGATTACTTTTTTTTTATAACTCCTTTAATGGGAAGGCCCTTTTAACTGTAATGGAAAATTCAGGAGCCATATGAGAAAAGATTGATAAATAGTCTATGTAAAATTTTCTCAAAAATCCTACATGAAAGAAAGCACTGTAAGCAAAGTAAAAAGCAAGTTAGAAAAATATTTGCAACTCATATGGCAGAATAATCACTAATCTTTCAATATATAAAGAGTATTAGAAATCAATAAGATCAACCAACACCAACAGTCCATTTGAAAAATGTACAAAGGATATAGACACACAGTTTAGCAATTTACAGGAAAGTGAATACCAATGGTCCCCATGAATATATAAAAACTTTTCATATTGCCCCCCAATGTTAAAAGGTGTTCAAAATTACTCTCAATAAAGTAAATGCAAATTACTTTTCTCTTATCATATTGGCAAAAATCCACTTTGCTATATGGTAACGGACACTCTTATAGGTGGTAAATGGGAGAACAAATTAGTACAATTCTTATGGAGAACGACTTGACAATATTTATTAAAATAAAAATGTGTTTTTATTAGTGGTTTAGTATCAATGACGAGTGAATTAACGGAGGGTCTGAGCATAGCAGGCAGGTCACACACCACCCACTATCTGCACACGGTAGGGAAGTGAGGTCTACAATAGTCACCAAGTGAGAAGATAACATGACATTATAAAGACAATCCTCAGTGTATGCAGAAGACCAAGACTCAAGCAGCCATTCCCTAGTGAGAAGGAACCTGGGTCAAACACAGCTCAGTCTGGCCCAAAGCTCAAGTGAAACATGAAGGTGGTACCTCGTGAACATTCCCCCATACAGGAAGGAGATCCAGAGCCAGGCAATCAACAGGAACAGCACCATAAGAGGTAAGGCGAAAATGAACCAGGAGCCGAAATTCACCACGTCGCTCTGTGGGAAGGCACTGGAGAAAAGAGGGAGGTGAGAGCCAGCCAAGATCAGCTATGCCGGGGTGTGTGTGTGTGTGTGTGTGTGTGTGCATAGAAAAATGAGAAGTATGTTAAATATTCACAATAGCATGAAAGGTATTTCAAATGTTTATTTTTCTATATTATCTGAGAGGTATTTCAAATGTTTATTTTTCTATATTATCTGAGAGTCCTATAATGTACCCACCATTACATGTATAATCAGAATAAACTAATGAAATGAATTTGGGGAGCAAAGCCCCAGGAGGACGCTCAGGGCAGCTATTGCCCTGCCTCCTGGGCTCCCAGCTGGAGAACCGGAACTCCATATTACTTAGCATTCCTTCTAAATCTTCTCCTCCAAGACCAGAAAGTCCAAGCCTGAGCAATTAAATGTTGCCGATAACATGCATGTAATTTATATACAATTTACTCCAAATCCTTCGTGTTTGATATTTTCACTTGCAACTCCAGCATTTCCTCCCTAATTTCTTAAAAAAAATTTTTTTTTATTATTGATTTCAGGGAGAAAGGGAGAGGGAGAGAGAGAAACATCAATGATAAGAATCACTAATCCGCTGCCTCCTGCACACCCCCTACTGGAGTTTGAGCCCACAACTCGACTGGGTATTGAACCATGACTCCCTGGTTCAGAGGTCAATGCTCAACCATTGAGCCATGCCGGCCGGGCCCTCCCTAATTTCTTTTAAAGTTGGGACAAAGTTCTGCTCGTGTCAGTGTGGGCAGGCAGCCTGAAATTTCTCTGATAGCAACTGCCACCCCACGCATTCCCCGCATCCCCCACCTCAGGACCTGCCCTGAGGCTCCCAGAACCCACATCTTTCCTGTCCAGCCTCTTCCGGTTGAGCAGACTACAGGGCCAGCCCAGGCTGTTCCCACATCGGAAACAGGGCCATCTAGGTTTGCTAACCAAAACCTAAGGCACAGCCAGGTCTTGCTCAGAGAATGGAGATGAAAAGACACCAAAGATCTGCAGCGGGCTGAAGTCAATTGGCAAAGTGCTGACGCCTGGCCCATCTCACCCCCCCTGAATCACACCCTGCAACTGAGACCCAGCTGCATTTTTTCATCTCCCCCAGTGACTCTAATAAGCACCCAGTGGCTGAGAATCACTGGTTTCTACCATCAAATCATACAATCAAGGAACTTAGGCACCTGATATAATATAGTGGAGGTTTAAGGTTTTAAAATCAGTTTGTGGGGCAAAACTGGAGTGTACTTAAAATTTCTCATAAAAATAATTTCAATTACCCACAAGTAGAGGACCGATTTATGTATGCCAAACCTGCTCTCAGGAGACCACCACCAGCTTTCCCTCACCCTCCCAATTTGACTCCGTGGTTGAGTAGCAGGAAAAGAAGCTGGTCAGCGCTGGGGCCATGTGGGACATCAAAGACTTTTTGCTGTTATCTGCTTGCCAAATGCTTACGTGCGCATTTGTGAAGATTAAATCAACGCAGGCCATATCTCCACTGCACAGGAATCTGAAAACCTCTCAGAATCCTAGAATCTGAACATCTTAGGATCTTGAAATACAGGAATTTTTTAAATCTTTGAACTAAGAGGCTTGGAATGACGGAGTCGACAAGCCACGCTGTCTGAGAAGCCTTCTCCTGTTCTCATGCAGGCCTCTGTTGGAACAGTTTCAGAGATGGGGACACTTCACCTCCTGGCAGAACCCGCTGCCCCGCTGGCCGGCGTGCGTGGCTGTCAAGCTTCTCACTGGACAGGACAGTGCAGACCAACGCCTCCAGTTGGGGTGTTTTCAAAGCAGATGCCACATCATGTCACCCTTCTGCTCTCAGCTTCCACGGACTCCCCACTGGGTCTTACAAGAGCTGCCTTAGTCTGGCCTCTTCTTACCGCATCTCCTCCCACAATCCCCTGCACCTTCTACACTGCAGCCTAGCGGGCCTTTATGCTGTTCGCCTTTGCTCAGGCTGCCCCTCTGTCTGCAAGGCGCTTTCCTTCTGTGTCTACAGAGCTCACTCCCTCACTTCTAGGCCTCTGCTCAAATGTCATCTTGTTAGAGAGGTCGTACATCCGTGACCGACTCACCCCTGTGCCTCCTACCCCTTTATCCTGCTTTGTTTTATTTCACAATTTATCACATGGACATCTCCCATATTCATTTGCTGTTTCCTTTATCTCCCCACCAGAATAAAAGTCCCACAGAGCAGAGACTTGGCTGGGTTTTATGCTGCAGCCTGGCCAATAGAAGGCACTCAAGATACATTCCCTGGATGTTAGTTAACTGAAGGGGTGAGGGGGGAAGAGAGAACGAGGACACTTGCTTTTACCTCTTGATCCCACCAAGAAGGATGAGGTTGGGAGCCGTGCCGGTGAGAGTGGCCGTGCCCCCAATGCTGGCTGCGTAAGGGATGGAGATGAGGAGGCCCTTCCAGATGTTTTTGCGATATTCTTCCGCCTTCTTGTCGCTGTCTGCAAGAGCCGGCGGGTCCTCTGCCTCCTCAGGGAAGTCTTTGCTTTAAACAAACCCAAGGAGACGCCATTCAGCACACACACAGCAATCCTGGGCCCACACGGAGCAGCGCACACATTGCTGGGGTGCGGAGAGCTCCGTGGTCTCCTGAGAAGGTAATTCGGCACCGACATCAAAACCTCTAGAGCTGGGCACCCCTTCAGCTCAGGTGTTCTCTGCTAAGAATGAGCCCCAAAGAAATAATTGGGCAAATGTCTCAGGTATGGGTACAAGAGTTCCCCATGGTGTTAAATACCATTTCATCATTTTAATTTAGAATAACCTAGATCACCATCAAAAGGGGATTGGCTAAATAAAGATAATCCCCTTTCTGGATGCTATTTAAAAATTGTGATTTAGATGAGTGTATTAAGATGAAAGATATCCATTATGTAAAGTGGATAGGTAACAGCACTAGTTTTTATTTTATTTTAACAATATTCACATTATTTCATGAATATTTGAGTTTTAAGAAAAGTTAAAATAGAAATAGGCAAAGTCATTTGGTACCTTTCTCGGGGGTTGAACTACGGGTCCTTTTTCTCTATTTGTATTTTTTCTGGGTTGTTTTCCTCGCACAGTTAGAGTTTTGGGAAAGAATGAAATTAAGAATTATTAATTATATAATTTAAAGTTAATGATGTTGACACAAATGTGATTGAGATAAAAAGATGTTCACTACACTCCATTAAGTGAGATAACAGTTTCCAAAACAGCATATATAGTATTGTCAGCATTTTTATTTAAGAAAATGTGTGTATGTATATATAGAGATATCAATAAATAATCTAGATTGGTATTTGCGTAACTGTTTTAACTTGTCTTTGAGAGTGAGATGCTGAATATATTTTTTAAGAGTGTTTTTTTTTACTTGTGCAATTATAAAATGTTTATAAGTGAATGACATTAAGAATTGCTCCTGTGCAATTAAAAAATCAAATGTTTTAAAATAATAAAAGATCCATCAAATACTGTCTGGTTTTAATTGCTACATGAGGGGCCCCGTCTCCAGTGGACAATGGGGACATGATCTGAAGTCCGAAAGGGACACAAGGAAGCAGCTGGAGACCCATGTCATCATGGTCTGACAGGGGTCCTCAAACTACAGCCCACGGGCCACATGCGGCCCGCCGGAAACATTTATCCGGCCCGCGGGTGTTTTTGCCGCTGCTGCCTGTCCTGCTTAGCAGCCGACTCGTCCCGGGCCCGCAGTGCGCATGTGTGGAATGTCTGAGGGACAGTGAACTGGCACCCTGTTTAAAAAGTTTGAGGACCTCTGGCTGACTTCTCAGGTGAGTGGCCTGGTCAGGAACTGTGGCCTCTCAGATCCGGGAACCCAACCAGACTGAGCCTCCCAGTGAGAATGAGAGAGCAGATGGGCCCTAGGGTTCATTTAGTGCGACCCCTTCTTTGTTTAGATGGGAAACTGAGGCCCAGAGAGGGGACGGGGCTTGCATCCAACGGACACAGAGTTTTCCTCTAATGGACATGGCGTTCCAGAGAGTAGCATCAGGTATTTTCCAATAAACTCTGCATAAACTCTGCATAGGCAGGAGGTAAAAATTGATTCCCAGGTTGCATGGTAGTGAGTGGCTGGGCCATCACAGAACCCGTGATCTCAAAGCTGGACTCAAGGCTCCCAAGTGGTGCTGGGAAGGAGTACAGTCCCTGGGATAAAACAATCAGATGTAAAATCATATTCCTCCTCTGCTATCCCTCCATCAGCTCCCCTCCATTCAAAATCAAAGCTACATCAGTGGCCTATGAGGTCCCACATGCCCTGTCCCACTACTACCACCCTCACCATACAGGCAATCTCTCTAACATTATCTACCATCCACTCTCCCAAGTCCAACCACGCAGGAAGCGTATAGGCTTCTTGTCTGCTTTGGACTCCCAGGAATTTGCACCTGCTGGTCCCTCTGCTGAGAACACTCTACAGATCCTCCACGATCCCGCATCTCCTTCTGGTGTCTGCTCAAGCATGACCTTCTTAGAGAGGCCTTCCCTCATTACCCATTTTAAAGCTGCCCTTTCCAGTTCCAGGCCCCTGCCCTGGCCTCTTTACTGCTTTTTTCTCCTGCATAACACTCACAACCATGGGACATATTATGGATTTTACTTGTGAATGAAATAGACCTGATCGATGCCCAGCAATGCTGAGAGCAAATCCCTTTACTTCCTACTGTTCCATCACCATTAAATCAAGATAACAATGCCATTAATAACAAGCGCTACCATCGTGCATGTAGAGCCCAGCAGCTGACATTATTCCATTTAATCTCAAAACAACCCTTTAAGCTGGGTTCCAATATCACATCCAGTTGTTAGGTGAACTTCATTGAGGCTCAGAAAGGTTAACTGACACAGCAGGTAGGTGGCAGAGCCCGGGTTCAAAGTCAGATCTGTGTGGCTCCAAACCCCAAGATCTTAACCATATTGTTATACACAAAGTACACCAAAGACTGAACATGCTATTGATGTGAAGGTGCTTCTGGACTCACAGAAGTCACGATTATTACTGTCTCATAGGACGTCTTTGTCCTTGGCGCCTCTCAACCTGGTCTGCACCTGCTCTCCTTCTTGACTATCATGTGGCTTGTGCTCTTCTGCTCTTCTGGGCCTGGCCTGGAGACCCTCCCCTTACTAAAACTCTAGGGATTGAATGTACTCCTCTGCCTGACCACATCTGCATTTTTAAGGATTCTGTGGAGATCTATACATAAGCAAAAGGTGGAAACTTGGGCAAGTATGTCATTTGGAGAAATTTTCAGAGATGGGAGGGAGGTTGCTTGCAGCACTGAGTTCTCGTTCATCATCTCCTTGGACCAAGAATTGGCTCCTCAATGATTTTTACCAGGAACTCACTCTTCTCTTCTGGCAAGAAATTGCATCTCCATGGGCACAGGGTTCATGCCTTTTGTCCCCACAGCAACTAGGAGAAGAAAGCATGATGTGCTTAGTGTCATGTGAGTGGGACAGGAGTGTGCCCATCCTTTTGTAGGCAGTCAAGAGTACTTCTTCAGGGCTCACTCTTGGCCAAGAATCCCATACTATTCATTCAATCAAATAAATAAATAAAATAAGTCGCTCAACATTCCATCTTCCTGCCCCACCCGTGTCTATTTGGAGACCCCAGACTTGAGGGCAGGGAGTTAGCTAGCTGTAAGACTGCTTGACAGCCCAGAACTCAAGCCTAGGCTTACCTGAGCAGCCATTGCCAAAGGGATGTTTGGGAAAGACTAGTCATGAGTGGTAATGGATCAGCAATGGAATGGGTGGCCCCAATCTCCCAGTTATTCATTCAAAAAGTATTTATTGAGCACCTACTATGTGCCATTGACTATGAGCTTGGGGTACACAGTGAAAAGTATACAAGGTCCCTGTTCCCATGAAGTTTATGTTCTAGAAAGGGAGACAGACAGTGAACACAGAAAGAAAATTTCAGGTAGTGATGAAAGTGAGGGAGGACATAAAACTGGGCCAGGTGATGGAAAGTAATTACAGAGTAGGGAGAGGGAGCAGGCGGCCTACTGTAATCAGTCAACAGAGAGACACCATACGCTGATGGCATTGGATGTGAGACCTTAAGGATAAAAAGGAGCCAGCCACATGAAGAGTCTTGAGAAGAGAGTTTCGAGCAACAGAAACAGCATGTGCAAAGGCCCTTGGGTAAGAAGCTTAGAAGAACTGAGGAACCACGAGAAGGCCAGTGTGCTGGGAAAGTAGAGAGTAGGGAAGCCTAGGGGAGATAGGGAGTGGGACTGCACTAGGCTAGTGGCCATAAAAATGCTGAGAGTGAATAAGTTGAGTGTTTCTGTTCTTCTTAGACAAGGGCTTGGTGCAACTTGGAGTCCAGGACCAGAACTGTCCGTGAACCCTAGCCGATCACTCCATCAGTGATGTCACTGAGTGACAAGACATGAAAATCTATGTCCTTGTGGAACTTACCTTCTGGTTAGGGAGACAGACCATAAACAAATAAGTATAATGTACAGTATGTCAGATGGAAATTAGTGTCATGGAGAAAAATAAAGCAGGGAAGGGGCCCGGTATTCTGGGATCGGACAATCTTTGTAAAGGATGGTCAAGAGAAGTATGACTGAGAAGGTAACAGCAAACAGACACCTGAAGAAGGTGCGGGGGTGAGCCATGCAAACCTCTGGGGAAATTAAGAGCAGGTGCAAAGGCCCTGAGGTGAGAGGGTGATAGTGTATCCAGAAGCAGAAGGGAGACCAGTGGGGCTGGAAGGGCCCGAGGGAGTAGGAGAGGAGTAGGAGGTGAGGTGAGATAAGTGGCAAGGGGTGGGGGTAGCAGAAAGTGGGCTGGATCATACAGGAGACTTGGGGATCACAGTAAAAACTTTGGTTTCTCTGAGTCACATGGGAGCAGAGGCGGAAGAGTGTTGGATCAGGGTCAGGACAGGATCTGACTTTATTTTAAAAGTATCCCTTGCTTGATAGTGTTTTATAGACAAGAAAAATGGAAGAGATTGAAAGTTCTTGCTGCTGAAATCATCACCAAGGACAAAAGAAACCATCCCTAGGTATTGAGCATGTGACTGGGTTCTGGGTTCAAATCATACCTTCATCATTTACTATGTGACCTTAGATCAGTGGCTCTCAACCGGGGCCACTTCTCCCTCCCATGGACATTGGCAATGTCAGGACACATTTTTGGTTGTCACAACCGGGGTGCGGGGGGTGCTCCTGGCATCTAGTGGGTAGAGGCCAGGAATGCTGCAAAATAGCCTACAATGCACAAGTCAGCCCCCCACAAAAAAGAATTATCCCACCCATAATGTCAATAATGCTGAGGTTAAGAAACCCTGGTTTAGAGCTATCTCTGAATCACTCGGCACCTCAATTCTTTAATTCACAAAATGAAAGTAGTAGTTTTCCTAGGGTTGTCAAGAGGGTTAAGGAGTTGACTCATTTGCTACAGACTGAATGTTTGTATCCTCCCCAAAATGCATATGTTAAAATGTAATCCCTAATGGGATAGTATTAAGAGGTGGAGCTTTGGAAGGTAATTAGGTCATAGGGGTGGAGCCCTCATGAATGGGATTAGTGCCCTTATAAAAGAGACCCACAGAGTCCTCCTGCCCCTGCAACCATGTCAGGACACAGCAAGAAGACAGCCCTCTATGAAGAGGAAGTCGAATCTCACTAGACACCAAATCCACTGGCTCCTTGATCTTGGACTTCCAGCCTCTAGAGCTGTGAGGAGTAAATGCCCAATCGGGGATATTTTTTATAGCAACTAATGGGCTGAGGTACCATTTAAAGCAGGGACTGGCAAATTTCTTCTGTAAAAGGCCAAGTGGTAAATATTTTAGGTTTTGGAAGTCACATGGTCTCTGTTGTTAACTACTCAACCCTGCCATGATATCACGGAAGCAGCCACAGACAACACGTAAAAAGTTATCTGGGGCTAAACCTTTATTTGGGGGCACTGAAATTTGAATTTCATATAATTTTCACATGTCACAAAATATCCAACTTTCGATTTCTTTCAACCATTGAAAAATATATCAACTATCGTTAACTCACAAAAAAACAGGTAGTGGGCTAGAGTTGCTGGGCCGAAGTTTGCCAGACTGTGATTTAAAGAATGTCACAGGAATCTGAGCACTAGCCAGGAGTTAGTTCACGTGGGTTGCTCTTGAGAAAGAATATCGAAGTGGCCCCTGATGTCTACCTGCGTTATGTTGTTCTCTTGTTGGACCTAAAGAATCTTGCACGTCACTGGCCTCGAAGTCACTGATAAAACGGTGAGCCGAAGCAAGGATGCTAAAGTTGCCTAAGCACAAAGCCGCTTGCCTCCCACAAAATGCCAAGCACCCCCACTCTTGCCAAATGAATGGCTGCCACTTCCTTACCCAACCATTAAGCTGCCCCTGACTTCTGACAGCAACTAATCTAGAGCAAAGCCTGCTCCCTTAGATGCCCCTTCACACGACCTGGCCAACGCCCAAGCCTTATGAGAGGGCCTTTCACACACCCTCTTACTGAGACGATCAAGCCTGTCCCGTGTGCGCCCCCCCTCCCGGCAGCAGCAGAAATACACTCAACCTGTTCGACTACAGATATGTTTCTGGGATCTTCGCCCACGTGGACTGGGAAGAAGGGTCTAGACTCCTGTTTCTGCTCTCTCCCTGCCTCACCCAGGGACCTGGGGAAGTAAGTTCCTTCCTCTCTCCACTCTGGGCTGCTCCTTTCCTGTTTGTACCAGGACTTAAAGCCCCCGGAGCCTGGCCTGCTAACACAGCCTCCACTCCACTTTCTCCATCCCTGTCCTCACCTCACCTCACCGACACAGCCACTGGGTGAAAGGGAGCATCTCTCTTTGCACTGGAATGAGCTTTGTTTCAGGTCTTGGGGTTGATCATTAACCAACCCCAACTGTCTGATCCCACTGCCCACAAAAGCAGGCGTCTACCCCAACCTCCCAGGGTCTCCTACCTCCTGACACCCTGCAGTGTAAATAAGAGGGAAGACTGAAGTTTGCTGTGTGCTATTTTTACTGTGTCTGACCACCAGCCAGGGTCTGAAGGCTAAATGCAGATCAGTTCACCCTGGGCCAAGGGGACGAGGGCCTAGGGGCTCCCGTGATGGGAATACATGTCCACATGCAATGCACAGGGCCAGAGGCCAGGGCACTGAAGCAGGAAATGAAGCTGTTAATAGGACACAGATGCCGGGAGGCAAAGTCGCTCCCCAGGGGATGGCCGGACAGGGAGAACTCTGACCCAGTGACCCCGAACCCCCACCTATTGCTAGCTCTCTCTGTACCCTTCCTCCACACCCCTGGGGAAATGGCAGCATTTCCTGGGAGTGCCTGAGTCCCACCCTGGAGGTTCTGGTTTAGTGATTCTGGGGCCGCAGTATTTTTGAAGAGTTCTGCAGGTGAGTATTCTGGGGAGCCCAGGTTGAGAACGACCCCCCTGAAGTTACAGATGGGGGAACTGAAGCCTCCTGAGGCTGCCCACCCCCTCAGAGGGAGCATGTGTTCACCAGTTGACCTCAGTCCCCCCAGCCCCTGTCACTCATCCACGGACCCTGGTTGCTGCCAGCATCTGAGCTAGGAGCTCCGATATTAGACTGTACATGCTATATACAAGGCTGGTTAGAGGTTGGGGTTTATGTAAGGTCTTATTCAAATAATACCAGTACCTGAGTTTATATCAGGCAGGGCAGGGAGAGCTGGGCAGGGGTTATTACCGTCCTCTTTACACCCAGGGAAACTGAGGCCTAGAGAAGTGGATTAGGGTTGAGATCAAGTTGTCCCAAAGGGTTAGTGGCAGAGTCAGGCTTGTTCCAGGACTATTGATTCTCCCCACCCCCTCTCCCTTGAATCTCACTCCATCTCCAATGGTGCCCACCTGGCCCTTGGTAGGTCTGACCTGGAACTGTTAACCCTCGTCTAACCTTGACGTTGGGAACACAGAAGCCCCGCAGGAAAGAGTTCTTGCATCAAATTAAGTAAAGAGAGCCCCAGGGAAAGTTAAAGGGCCCAGATGAGGCAGATTTACATCCATGCATTCAATTAGCGCTCACAACAACCTAGACGGCAAGTATAAATATCCCCATTTTATCTATGAGGAAACTGAGGCTTGGAACAGTTAAGTAACTGGTCTATTCATTTCTTTCTTTCTTTTCTTAAATATATTTTTATTGATTTCAGATAGAAAGGGAGAGGGAGAGAGAGATAGAAACACCAATGGTGAGAGAATCATTGACTGGCCATTTCCTGCACGCCCCACAGTGGGGATTGAGCCCACAACCCCGGCATGTACCTTGACCTCCTGGTTCATAGGTTGACACTCAACCACTGAGCCACACTGCCTGGGCTGGTCTATTCATTTCTTAATTCCACTCATTTATTGAACACCTACTACGTGCCAAACAATGTTGTAGGGAAACAAGACCACAGCAAGGAAAGAGATGGACACAAACTCCCCTTCTGCTTGGCGTTTACAAGGAGACAGATAATAAACAAATGAATCCCTCTCAACCAGGAGGCACAGGAAACTTCAACTGTGCCTGACATGAGGTTTATTACCAGCTCCTCCAATGCCTGGAAATCTAATGGTTTTTATACAACTTCCACATAGTAACGAACCCCTTCCTGTGTTCCCGGTTCTCATTTCTCATGTAAACTTCACAAGAATATATTTGAAATGGGAGGTATTGCCCTCATCTTAGAGTTGAGAAAAGAGCCCCCCGCTCCTGGCCTCATGAATGAAGAGCAAAGGAGGCGGGCGATGCTTAACCCAGTCTCAAATCTGGATTTTTGAATGGTGGCCTCTTGGACACTCCTAAAGGAAAGACATGGTGGCAAACTGGGCTTCTTTGGGCAGAGAAATGCAGGAGAAAGGATGGTAGAGTTTAGCCCAACAGCCAGGTGGGCCCCTTACTGGTTGAGGGAACTGGGCAGATACTTCACCACTCTGAGCGTCAGTTTCCTGCTCTGTGACATGGGCATGATGAGAGGGCCACCCGCAGGGCCGCGGTGGGGGATCTAATGAGAATGTGCAGGTAGAAGGACGCTCCTTAGTCCCCTGGGCAGCGCTAGGAGCAGAGCTGGTGAAGGAACAGACGAGAAGAGCAGGCTGTCCTCCAAGTCTGAGGACCCCTGGGGTCTTGTCCAGCGAGCACCACCCTGCCCTCGGCTCTGTCCTGCTCTGACGTGGTGCTCAGAAGCACAGGTTCCACATCCCGACAGAGCTCAGCACTTTGGACAAATCGTTTTGCCTCTGAGCCTCAGTCTCCTCATCTGTGAAACGGGGGTCATCTATCTCACAGTACTGTTGGGAAGATTCAATGAGCTGATGGGTATGAAGATTTTAGCACAGTGTCTGGCATGTGGTGGGTCTTCAAAAAGTGAAAGTGCACACTATCATTGTGGTTGCTGCTTGGCTGTCTCTCATGGACTTACAGCCCCTGGAGCCTCCTCACCCCTGTCCTGACCCGTGAGCACAGCCTCCACTCCCTCCACCCCTGTCCTCACCTCACCGCACCTCACCTCACCGAGCAAAGGCACTGGGTGAAAGGGAGCATCTCTCTTTGCACTGGAATGAGCTTTGCTTTAGATCTTAGGGTTAATCGTTAATCACTCTCTGATCCCACTGCCCAGGCGTCTGCCCCAACCTCCCAGGGTCTCTACCTCCTGACACCCTGCAGCACAAATTGGAGGGAAGACAGAATTTCGCTTTGTGCCCAACATTGTGTGTGACTTGGGCAAGTCCCTTCCGTTTCCCAGGTCTCAGATGTTTCATCTTTGTAATAAGGGACTTGGCTTTCAAACCTTTTTTTGGCCACTAGACTCTTTGAAAAGCTCTTGTGTTGGAGGCAGAATGACAGGGTCAGGACACGGGCTCTGAAATCAGCCAATCTGGGTTCAAAACACCAGAGCAGCTGTTTGAAAGTGGGGTGACCTGCTCTCTTTTATTTTATGTATCCTGTTTTGTTTATTCCTCCCTCCATTTCCATTCTTCTGAATGGGGCCCATGCTAGCTCCTCCTCATTCAGATGTCAGGCCCTAAGAAGAGTCCTTGCATAAAGTATGTGCTCAGGAAACACCTGTGACTGTTACTTGGCAGCTCGGTGTATAAAGCAGATCCAGCAGGGGCAGCTGGAGTTGAAACGGGAGGAGCGAGCCTTCACTGCTTGCTGCCACCCAGGGCACTTACCAGGCAGCTCTCTTGGAACCCAAGACTCAGGGGACACAGTTTGAAAACCAACTACAAAATAGGGATCCACAACCTAGGAATCCAGCCCACTGCCGGCCAGCGTAGAATGATGCTAACGTTTTTAAATGGCTGGGAAACATCAGTAGAAGAAGAATATTTCATGATGTTTACGGGTTCGGCACCATAAACAAAGCTTTCTTGGGACACAGGCGCGCACACAGTCGTTTATGTATTGTCTCTGGCTGCCTCCTCTGGGCAAGGGCCGAGTTGATTGGCTGTGATGGAGTGGCCAGCAAAGCCTACAGGGACTATCTGATCATTCACAGAAAAGACTTGCCAACCCCTGCTCCAGAGCGTTTCTTCCCTTCCACCTGGAAGCCCTTGACCTGCCTAGACCCTGGCTCTGTCCTTTACCAATAAGGTGCTTGGTTCTTTACCTCTCTGAACCTCCTCTATAAAGTACTTACAGTCATTGCTAGGTTTCAGGGCTGCTGCGGAAATAAAGTAAGCAAGACCCCTTATTACATGATGGGGAAGTAACCATACCGCAGTAAATGAGATTGAATGTAGATGGTCAGTGGGTGAATATGTATATTTTCAGCATGAATATGTATATATTTACTTGAACGAATATTCGAAAAAACATAACTAGCACACAAAACCCATGGTGTCATGGGTAATGTTTGTTGTTAGGTGGGGTAAAGGACCCAGAGTTTCTGGGGTGCATCTACCACCCATTTTTCAATATGTGGCTTCCATCTTTGGGTGCCAGGCAGCATCTCTCACCCCCTCCATCATATTCCCATTCCCATTGGCTAAACTTAGTCACATCTAATTGCAAGGTAGGTTGGGAAATTCAGCTTTTTCCCTGCCCAGCCATGTGCCCCAATAGGGGTTCTATTACTAAAAGAACAAAGGGCCTGGCCATGGTGTCTCAGCAGTTGAGTGTCGACCTATGAACTAGGAGGTCAGGGTTTAATTTTCTGTCAGAGCACGTGCCAGGTTGCGGGCTTGATCCCCAGTGTGGGGTGTGCAGGAGGCAGCCGATCAATGATTCTCTCTCATCATTGATGTTCTCTCTCTCTCTCTCTCTCTCTCTCTCTCTTTCTTTCACTCCCTCCCTCCCTCCCTCCCCCTTTCTCTCTGAAATCAATAAAAATATTTTTTTTTAAAAATAAAAGAATAAAGGAAGAATCAATACTGGGTATAAATTTTCAATCTCTGCCCACATGTACTAATGTAAAATTTCTGTTTAAAGATATTTATGTAAATAAAAAGGAAGATGTTTTAAAGCAGACAGGATGTGGTATTTGAGTTAAAAAAAAATCCTTATTCTTTAAGCCACCTGCAGACAGGTATTCTTTTACCTGTACCCAAACGAATCCTCCATGATTGCAGCTGGTTTCATGGGTAAGAGAGTGGACTCTGGAGCCAGGCTGCCTGGGTGCAAAGTGGGGCTCAGCCATGTGCCTGCTGTGTGACTTGGGGAAGTCACTTCCCCTCTCTGAGCCCTCGTTTAATCATCTGAAAACATGGCAGCTACTTGCATCTGGTTTTATTTAGAACACAGAGGTTTCAGAGGCTTGAGTGACCCCTCAGCTGTGCACATTCCATTTGTTGCAAGGCCCCTCTTTGTTGTATTTATTCATTTGGTCCCTTTATCTCCATTTCTCACTCCCGACTTTCCCAGAGCAGCCACTCTGATGTGTTTACTGTGTTGCTCTTTATTTGTTTATGGTCCTGCAAAATGTTTGGTCATTTGTGTGTGATTTTAATTTGCATTATGGTATTTACACAGTGGAGATGTATCCTGTATCTCCTTCTGGCTATTTTTTCAATCACAACTATGTTTTATGAGCTCCATTTATATAACTGTATTTGCTCCTAAAAGCAGCGGAGTGCTCCGCGGTGTGCACCTGCCCCACTTTCCCTTCCCTTTCACTAGTGATGGCACCCATGTGGCTACCAACTCCCACCCCACTGAGAATGCTGCTGTGAACATCGCCACATGCGTCCTCTCAGGGTCCTTGGTCAGAATCTCTTTAACATTTACATTCGGGAGCAAAACGGCTGAGTGGCAGGGTATGTGCACATTTAATCTGATTAAATATTTGCAGGGCGCCCTTAAGAAAGACCGACCCAGTTTCCCCTTTCTCTAGCAGTGCTCAGAGTTCCAATGGCTCCTTCCTGCCAATACTTGGCATTATCCCGCTCTCTCATTTTTTGCCAGTCTCATCGAAGTCCGTCTCATTGTTGTTTCAATTTGCGTTTTTCTGGGCATTAACGATGTTAAGCATCTCTTCAAATGCTTTAAAAAAAGGTTTAGCCCGGCCAGCGTGGCTCAGTTGTTGGGTGTCGACCTACAAATCAGGAGGTCACGTTTCAATTCCTGGTGAGGGCACATGACCGGGTTGTGGGCTCGATCCCTAGTGTGGGGCATGCAGGAGGCCGCCAATCAATGATTCTCTCTCATCATTGATGTTCCTATCTCTCTCTCCGTCTCCCTTCCTCTCTGAAATCAATAAGAATATATATTTTTAAAAGGGTTTAATGATAGTACCTATTTCATAAAACTGTTTTGAGAGGTGGAGATGGTGTATGGAAAGTGTTTAACTCTGCTTAATATATAGTAAATTCTCAATAAGTGCTATTTTTTAAGTACCATGGTTTGACTTGGTTACTTTTCAGTTATTATTACTATTATTAAAATACTGGACACATAACAGGTGCTCAATAAGTGCCTTCCCTTTGCCTGCCCTGACACCCTGTGGATATCCCCACCCACTCCTCCACCTGCAGGTTGGCCCAGCCCTGTTCCACAGCCTCACCTGTGTTCTCTTCCTCCTCACCAAAGAGGTTCTTCAGGATGGCGCTGGCGATGGGCAGCATCATGGCGGTGGAGGCAGTGTTGCTCAGCCACATGGACAGGAAGGCGGTGCTCACCATCATTCCAAAGATGAGCCTGGGAATGGAGGGAGTTAGAGGCAGCGCTGGAACTGGGGTCCAGGAGGTCCTCTGGTCGGAGTTGGCCACACCGGAAGCACACAGCCCCCTCATTTTACAGATGGCCCCCCTTGTTTAATAAAGTTGCCTTGGTTTAGCACCAAGACCCGCTACCATCTCACCCCAAACAGCCTTCCCAG